CCACCTTTCAATTATATTTCATTTTTTAAAATTATTTTCTTCCCCTGTGCTGACTTCTGTCCTATTTTCAATTGGTTTCATTGCCTTTTTTTTTTTTTTTTTTTTTTTTAATTTATTGGCTTTAGCCTATAACTTCTATTATTTTTAATACTCTTCCCATTTTCTTTCCTCATTGTTTGTGTCAATTATTTCTTTAAGTCAATCATTCACTACACTAGCTCAGGAATATCTGCTCCTGTAGTACTGTTTAGGTTTCCCTGCATTCACCTTTTGAAGAAGAGATGAGCAAGATTTCTGAGATAAGTCAAATTGTCCAAATAAGTAAGATTGAAGGAATTAACATTACATTTAGTGGGGTAGACAGCAAACTGTAAGGGAATAAGGGAAACAGCTGAGGATAATGGAGAAAAAAAAGGTTGCACCTATATTAGTTGATTAAACTAGGCCAAGATATAGACACGAGCATCAGCATAGTGGCTCTCACTGCTTAATAAGTTGACATCCCCAGGTGGGGTTTTGCCTGTCTGAGTAACCTTCTCCCAGTCTGGGGTTCAGGCCAGAGGTATGCAAAGATCTTTCCCCCTTGGCTGCATAGATGAAATCTTGCTCTTCTGGGGAGGCTGTAGTCCTGGAATCAGTCCCTTTGGTGAGCACCAGCTAAACTTAATCAACAGTGGAGGTTCAGCCAAAGATTGCTGCTGTTTCCTGTTTCTATTGCTAGAACCCATCTTCGCTGTGGTAACCCATTTAATGGCAACTGTTGCCTAATTTAGGACCACCTCCTGGGATACTGTCTAACCTAAAATGTAGTGTCAATTTAGCTGCTTGGTATACAACTACATGTAACACTACTCTCTCTCTCTCTCAAGTTACATCAATACATCAAATTGTATTTAGCTAAATTACAATCATCGACATTTAGGGGTATTTGTTTTAATTTTTCATTTGAGTAGCATATGATCTTTTTTTCCACATTCATTGGATCTACTGTCTGAGAGCACAGTTTTGAGGCGCTTAATGTGCTTAGCATTTTTCTGTTTGTATACTTGGTTGTTCCTACTGCACTACTTCTTGTGATATCTTTTAAGTATTTTCAATTAACTCTGGATAAATAATATTTTATAAATATTTTACACCACATGGTGTAAAATAAACAGCAAATTAATTAGTTTCATATTGAATAGTATAGTATCTCATAGACTAAGTCTATTGCATGGAAAGCTTTATCCTTGCTAGACCTTGGTTTTACTTGAAAAGAACATTGTTTCTGAGGATCTTTACACTGAAAAGTTCCAACCAATCTGGTAAGAAAAATATTTGTCTGCACAATCTTGTATTAAAATGAATACATAGTCTTTCTCAAGGTGTCTCCTTTAACTGCTCAAAAATGTTTCCCCTCAACCTTTCCTTCCTATGAAATCTCTTTATTTTAGATAAAATGAGTTGTGAATAAATGGGGCCTTACCTCACTTTTGGCCAAATTGTGCACTGTGGGTTCATTAAATTCATCCTTCCCGCCAATCAGTTATGACATAAAAATATAGTTTACTACATTACAAAACAATTCCCTCATATATAGATTACTTTTGTCTTATAGTCAACATGAGGTTAAAGATCTCTGGTCTGCTTTAGAGTTTCAGATGATCTGTGAATGTCTAAAATGTTTGGGGATCTTTAACCCGGAGAAAGAAAGGCTCAGAGGAGTCCTTATAGTGGCCTTCCAGAAACTGAAGGGGCCCTAAAGGAAAGATGGGGAGGGACTATTTATAAGAGCATGTTGTGACAGGACAAGGGGAAATGATTTTAAACTGGAAGAGGGTAGATTTAGACTAGATATTAGGAACAAATTCTGTACTGTGAGGGTGGTGAGACACTGCAACAGGTTGCCCAGAGAGGTTGCGAATGCTCCCTCCTGGAAACATCCAAGGCCATGCTGGATGGGGCTCTGAGCAACCTGGTCTTGTGGGAGGTGTCCTTGCCTATAGCAAGAGGACTGGAACTAGATGGTCTTAAAGGCTGCTTTTGACCCATTCTATTCTATAACTCTATGAAAACAGAGGTGTTTTGTTTGCTAACAAATTTACTGAAGAACAGATTCAGTGTGGCATAAGTGGTAAACGTGAAAGTGAATATAAAAAACTGCTTGTCCTGCTTTTTAAGCTCCAAAGCATTTCAATTTTATATGTCTGCTGTATTGTTATATTTGGAAAAAAAAACAGTAAATCATGTGTTCCCTGAGGTTTTTTGCTCTCTAATCTATTCTATTTCACTGGGGGACTTGTAGGAAGGTCTTTATCTGGGGTTTTCTTTTTTTTTTTTGATATGTGTTTCTCTTTGGTAAAAATAGTTGACAAGAACTTTTGGTCTTTCTTTTGTTATTGTTTGCATAGATTACAAAGGAAAGTGTTGAAAAGTTTGCTGTTGTATTTTGGGTAGAGTAGTCTTGCCAACATTATTAAAATTGGTTTAGGTTGTTGCATGATGTTCTCCGGAAGGCTAACAGTTGAAACCTAACTGAAAACTGGATGAAGAGCAGAATGTTATTTTGTGTCAGAAACAGCATCAGTGGTCTGTGATGTGCATAAGCTAGTAGATGATTTATGGATGAAATATGAGATGTTACTTTGATTTTGCAAACTCTGCATTAGTGAGATCCTCTTTTTTCAAAGAGGATCTTCCTTGTATCTTCTAAAAAGTACTTTGGTTGTGATAATGGAAAATTTATTTATTACTCAATTTCATTGCCGTGGTATAAATGGAAGGGGTTGGCAGACTGTTAGTCCGTTTGAGGATCGGACTGGAGACTTTCTATTTTTTCATCCCACTGTGGTTCACAAGGGCCTTAATGTGATGGTTCTGTAAGGCCAATGTTCAAAACTTTGCCTGAAGTGGTGCTTAAGTGACTGATTTTACTGTGTGTTGGGAGTGGAAGCTGGCAAGGTCCTTTGGACTCATTTTGTTTGTAGTGGACTTTCAATATAATTTTGTTAGCAGAAAGACAAATGTTAGCTAAGTAAAATATAAAATGCAGATGCATTATTGGCAGGCATGAGTAATTGTGTTAGTCTCTTGCCTTACTGTGATCCCTTTCACCACTGATCCTCTGTGTATTTGTAGGAAGCAAAACTTTCAGATTTTGCTTTTTTGTGTGTGTGTGCGTGTTTGTGTGTGAAATCTCTTAACTATTCTGGATAGGAGAAGCTTTTCTCTCTATTTGTTTCAGGCAATTTTTCAGTTATTTTTTATTTTCTTATTTTGAGTAAAAATATACATGTGAGTCTAATCTTGATCTGAGTGGAAATAAATATTTTGAAAAGGTGAAAAATTGATTAAATGATATAGCTGCACGCTAGAAGGAACAGGGTAGGGAAGATAAGAAACCGTAACTGATCAGTTCTCAGTAGATAAAAATGAAGTTAATTAAATGAGACACTGAGACAAAGCAAAATCAAAGAAAAATTCAAGACTAGGAGAAGAATAGGAAAACTATCTGGTTTGGCAGATTTGGATAGGTATTTACAAGTATCATGCATGTATTGCATAGAGATTCATAAAATATTCTGTTTTTGCTTTTTCATGCTCTGACATCTGAAATAGGAAATGATTTCTTTTTCTTCCTACTTTTGCAAATTCATATTTTCAGAATTCTGACACATTCTGGTTTTCACACATTGCTTAAAAAACAGTTGTGCCATGTCAGAGCTTCACCATTTACAGTTTTTTCTGTCTTGCACAGATCCTAGGGAAAATAAAAGGACATTACAAATAAGTTTTTGAAATTAGCTGGTATATAAGGCTTGGTAAAGAATTCTGAGTTTAAAAAATGCAGCTTTCCTGAATGATGCCAGTGACAGTTGTAAGGTCTCACAGGGCAAGTCAGTCTGTTTCTCCAGTAACTGTTATTCATTCAATGTTCTTCAATGAAAATATGTAATATTTTGGAACAGAAAGTATATACACAGTGGGACAGAAAGTATATTTTTGGGGGATGGTTGGCAGCACATTTAAGAGTGTATGGGTGATTTTGGCTGATATAAAGCTTTTGAGAGTACAGGTTGGACTGCAGCAGGAGGTGTTGGGGAGTTTTGCCTAGATGAAAGAGAACAGCTGAGAATAATATTCATCAGAAAGCCACAGAAGAGTAATGATTTGGAGCAGGAGGGACTGTTGGTGCCAGATGTCTCAATTCATCAAAATCCAGGATATTTTTTTGCCCTGAAGAAGGAAATGTGACAAGTTTGGGTATGCAATAAGAAATCTGAATAAGACCCCCAGGTTTCCTAAGGATACTTTGAAAAAAGGTTAGGACTCAGGAGTCAAAAGCCACCTGTTAACTAAACAGTAATCAAAACATGAATGGTAAGTGTGTAGTTACCATAATCAGTAGCATACTTTCATGCTTTAACTTGTATGATGTTGACACACCGAATTGGATTTTTCTTCCAAGCAATTTGTAGTTCAGATTCTTCCTGGAAAGTGTGTGACTGCTTACCTTCTAAGGAGCAACTTCAGAGATTACTGCTGTTCCACTTGTTATTTTCACATCCTCTCATCTCTGAATCTTGTTTATCAAGCCTATGGCAATGAGCTGTAATAACCTCTTACAAAATGTGAATTAATTGCCATTTATGCTATAGATTTGTTCTGTTTTCATTTTCAAACTATTTATTGACACTTCAGTCATGCTGTACCCTTTGGACAGGAGAAGGTACACTAAAAATTGCTTTTTTTTTTTTTAATTAAAATTTTTCAAGGTACAGTGCTTATTAACATCAGATTAATAGATTAATTTGTGAAAAATTTCTCAGTATTTAATGATTTCTACACTGCTTCAATTAGAACCAATTAGAAAGCAAGATACAAAGTCAATTTTTTTCCTTATCTGTTCAAAATCTAGATCTTCAAAAACAGATTTGCTCTTCTTTCTTAGTCCTCAGGAGTGGATGAGACTTAACAATGCTGAAACATTTGTTTTTCTTTTGTTTTTCTGCTGCTAACAGGCCAAGCTCTGATAACAGGCGCCACAGCATTCGAGAGAGAATGTCTGGTACCAATGAGAAAGGGAGTCTGTCCATGGAGTCCACCAAGGAGACCCGGTACTGTGCTGTGTGCAACGACTATGCTTCAGGCTACCATTATGGGGTCTGGTCTTGTGAGGGCTGCAAAGCCTTTTTCAAAAGAAGTATTCAAGGTAATAAGCTGCTAAAGTGAATCGCCATAACTTTTTACTCCCGAGGAAGCTACTTGAAATTCCAGCCTGAGCCCAGGACAATAACATTTATTGAGATTTTGCTATCAGTAACTGCTTTCTCCTATGTATGCTTAGCTCTGTATTTGGTGAATGCTTCTCACAGATATGTAATATATTGCTATTTAAACCAAGATAGATTAATGATGAAAAAGAAAAACTTCTCAACATTCTTCTTGGTTTCTGTATGTCTGATTGTGGAGACAGTAAGAAATTTAATTCAAAAATCAATATTGGATCAGAATGACCACTTTTTCAGGTTATGCATTCTCTTTTTTGTGATTAAGTTCCTATCCAATATTTATTTTTGCAAATTCACTGTCAGAGGAAGATTAATTCATATTTATTGATTCCTTAATCTTAATTCAGTGCTCACTTAGCAGAATGGTTCAATCCGAATCTCAGCTACTTGAAGATGTGAGCTATATTTTGAGAGCCAGTGTCTGACAGGAATGTTTCCTTGATGAAATAATATTTATATTTGCCTGCAAAGCAGGGCTTTGAACTGTATGGAATGGTATATTTTTCAGCTGTCTCATGACTAGAAGTATACTGTGCAAAATGTCTGTTAGACTAGAGGGCTTCTAATAGAAACAATGTAATTACTATGACCAATATAATTATTTATTAAAATGCCTGTCGTTCTGTGGGATGACTAAATTTTTTCCTCTGTTTAGCACAGAGAAGTAGTGTAGGGACTAAGTATGGTTCTACCAAAAATTCTATTAGGTATCTCTGGAAATAAAAATGAAACATATAGAAAGAGAAAACAAGCAAAATGCTCTGATTTAGGTAGGTTTCTATAGTTTTTTATCATCTCCGGGTGATATAGGCATACAGAAATTCCTGTTGCTCTTTTTATGAAGTAAACATAGCAAGAAACAGTTTTTCTCATATCGATCACTAGGTGTGAATGTTGCCTGTTTTGTCACGAGACTGCCACTGAGTTAAGTAAGAAATCTTGCATTCCTCTCAAGAACTTTTCCCAGCTTGAAGATGAAAGTGAAAGACTGGCTTTGGAGTAAACACTGATAAATTGTTTGAATGCCAGTGATTAGTTAACAGTTACTAGTATTTCTGCTTTTGAAACTTCTCTAAATGATTTGTAGAAAAGAGAATGGTTACAACGGAGTTTGATAATAAACAAGACTGAGTGGAGAAAGAGTGAAATGCTTTTCTCTTAGCATCAGAAAGACATATTTAAATTTTAAGGTAGGAAGAACAGCTCCTTAATTTGGATCTTTTTCATTATGTGTTTCCTGACTGAATTAGAATTATGTGGAATTTTGAAATTCTGTCCCATCTTACCCATAACGTTATTTTTAAATGTCTGCCTTGTTTCTTATTTTATTATTATCATTTGTATCAATACTAAATAGGCAGAATAAATTGTTGCATCTCTTACCTGTGTTACTTGGTCTTCGGTGATCCAGCAACAAAATGAAAATTGAAAGATTATTGTGTAAAAGTGAAGGTTAGTTGTGAAGTAAACATTCAGAACAGATATTCAGCTTTTGGGCATTATGGATAAAGAAATTAATCTGAGTCTTTCGTTGAGTTGCATTTTTCTATATGAACACTTGGGTGATTCTACCCCAGTCTCTTTGTCTTAAAGTCCTCAACAACAGATCTATTTTTTGTTTGTGCAATAATGCACTCTTTTTAGTAAATTTAGATCTTCTTTACATACACTTGATATAATTTTTAAATAGACAGTCTTAAAGAATGTAAAGCTTAAGTTGTCGGTGTCTCATGAAATAGTTCTCTTAATCATTAACTCCTGTTTGCTCTAATTTAAGCCCACTCCTTGCCTTATCCCTTGTTGGTATGAAGCAGAATTATTGCAATGACCTTTTACACAGTTGAACTGTTATCATATCTTTCCTCAGTCTTTTATTTCTATAGACTAAACAAAGTCATTTCTTTCAGTAGAACATGTCTTCTAGATGTCTGATCCTATTTGTTACACTCCTCTATACTTCCTTCAGTTGATCCACACCTTCTTGGATGACAGCTAATAAATGACATCCACTAATATAAAGAAAATGCTTTATTTTCTGTTTATAATGTGTCTTTAAAAGCAAGAGTAACACACTACTTCTGTACTTTACTATCCTGTATTTCCCAGTACATATATTGATGTAGACATAACTGGTCATTTTTATGATTTTCATCAGAGATTTCATAGCAGAATTGCTATAGTGAGGATTGATGTTTTTAATGCAATTATAGTAAAAATATTCCATGTAGTTCTTAATAGCACCACAGGAAAAAATTACTGAGTACAGGCAGAAAGCACTGTATGGGGTAATCTGTATTCCTCACTATGTAATATTATCCTCAGTGGTATCTATCTTTAGATTATTTGTTTGTGTAAGTTAACCTCCAGAATTTTGAGAAAACTCACATATACATTGGGCTACATTGCACTTTAGATGGGTAGCTTCATTTTTATCCAGATAGTTTGGAATGGCTCTACAGATATTTTGTGAAATTTATTTACTAAATTACCTTTCTTTTCTGGCAAACAGTTAATGCTTAAAAGCTAGCCTGAATTAGTAATGTCTTTCAATACCTGTAACTGCTCAATTATGTTTCAACAGCAGAGGATTGGTGAAAATCTCAGTTTCCTCTTGAAATTGCCAATGCCATTTTGCTTCTTTATGTCATAAAATAGGCTTGGGGACTTTGTTTTGAGAAAGCACTGCACAGACTGCTGTTAACGTATGAACTCTAATGGGAGGAAAAAAATCACACTGCATCAAGATCACTGTGTTGCTTGGTGATGGATGTAAGGATGCTTTATTCTTTGAACAGCATGGGTTTCTGTTGGGTATGTAGATGGTCAACTGACTTGAATCCAGAGGTATAACAAGCCATCACATCATAGCCCACTGTACTCCTCTATTAAAATGTTTATTAATTTTCAGATCACAGTAGTTCATTAAGTCTCAATATAAACTTTATATGCTATTTGTTTATGGGGCCTAGTAGCTTAATAGAAGTAAATTGTTTATAACATTCCTAGCTTTGATCTGTGGACTCAAGAGCTTTCTTACAATGATTGCTAGTTCTAGTGAATTGTCTTCCCATCTGCTAAAAAATTCTTTCTAATTTATACTATTTTGGCTTTTAGGACACATCCACAAATCAATCCAAAAGTACCTAGTATCTCTTCCCAGCAGGAAGTTCTTATAACTTAGGTTGTTACAATCAAATAATCATGATATCATAAGTGAGATTCGGTTCTTGAGTTGCTCACTTTCTTTCTGTTTGCTTAGTTGTAACTTCCTTTGTCCTTTGGCCTTTTCTGATTCCCCCATAATAACCTCTTTAAAATCAAGAGAGCAGAATTGGATGAATTATTTCAATGTTAGCCTTACAAATGCCATTTACAAATGAAAAATCCCCTGGTGACTCACACATTCTTTTCCCCTCCTTCTAACTCTTGTTATTTATATACCCACCAAAGGGTATGGAACAGGAAGGAATTACTCTTAGTATCTCTGAACAGAGTCCAACAAATGCCTGTGCTTATTGGTCTGAGGACCTGCAGAGGGAGAACAAGTGATTCAGAAACTTGAGAGGTAACTCATTAAATTGAAGGGTATCTTGATCTCAGAACTGTCAAAGTACTTCAGAAATCCTAATTTCCATTCCCCTGTCTCTTTCACAAGCCTTTCTAGTTGTATTCAGTGCACCTTCTCTGCATTTCAGGTGTACCTCTTTACAGCTATATGCTCAGACAAAACTCTGGGAAATTTCACAAATATTCAGTTAAGAATTACTTTGTAATGCAAGGCAGTACCAGCTCAGCAAGTGCAGGTTGGCATCTCAGGATGAATAACCATGATGAGGGGTTCCAGAGGATTGTCTTGAATCACAGGCTTGAATCACAGAGATAGATTGGTCTTTGAAGTATAGAATTCTTGAAGCTAGGAAATATTTTAGTTGTGTGGCTTATGGTTTGATTGCAGTTAACAATTTTGTCTTCTGAACATAAAGGCGGAGTTTTGGCAGTGAACATGGAGTGTTATCAACTGTTTTAATTTCACAGTGATAGCTTGACAGAGCTGTACACTTTTGAAAGTATGTAGTTCAAATTTTAGTGCTAGGAGTGGTGGCAAGACACATATTTTCTTCTGGGATGGCTAGACTTGCATTGGTAAAACATGCTTAATAAGTGGACAGTTAGGTAATGCTGCAGTGCAGCATTTGAAAGACTGCCTGTTTGAAAGGTTTCTGAAATATTCCTTTTAATTTTCCGGTATTTCTTTGTGGGTTTTTTTTTTTTTTTTTTTAAATGGTATTTTTGTAATCTATTTGATAACAGCTACAAATGCTGTACTGACTCCAAAGCCAAGAAGACAGAAACCCCCCAGTAAAACTGCTTGCATGTTGATTCTATGAGCTGCCAAGTAGAAAGAGCAAAACTGCAGTACATGAGTCTAAGTGAGACTTACAGAGACAGATGCAGTAAATAAGCAGAGGATTGCACACTAATATCTAATCTCAGGGTGGAAAACACAGTTCCAGCTTGAGAGGTGACGGTTAGAAGTCTAGAAAATGTGTACTTGAAAAGAGCAGAAGGATTGACAGTTCTAATAACCTCTGATCAGCCAGCTTTATCTGAAACTTCTTTTGCTTTATTTTTGTGTATGTAGTCTGAAGTTAAATACATGCTCTGATTGTTGCTCTCTAATGTGTATTTTGAATATCAGAATTCTAATTTATGCTGATTCTTTGTTTCAGGAATGTGCATGTTGAAAGTCAAGTGTCAATACTTCCTTTTTCCTACTCAATCTATTTTGAAGTGGTATTGTTTCAATGAATTCCAAATTCATTGCATTCCTGCATTCAGCATGGATATGGCAGTGATTTAAGATGGTTGCATCCAAGATATTTCCTTATTTTATATGGTCTAAGCAAACCATTGTGCTGCA